GCATTTGATTGTGCATATAAACACAGTTGTAAAGTCTTTCCAGGCATAAGCTTTGCACTATACATAATAACTTCTATCAAACTGTAGCATAGCTATTTTTTTTAACATATATAAATGGTGCTATGTTTAAGCAAAGTTATACCCTTCCAGCTCGCCTCTTCTGGCCTTCTAGAAACATTAGATATTGATTTTAGCCATGCGTACCCCACTTGTTGCTACAATCACTCCTTGGTGAAGCCTTTTTAAAGTGATGGGAACCATGAGCTAGCTCAAGAATGAGATTTTCATTACATGTTCATCGAAGGATATTTTATAGCTCAATTATCTGAAATTAGTTTTATAAATCAACTTGAAGATATTGAATATATTTTAGAGTTTGCATGAAAATCTGAAAACTGTAGCTTTAGGGGCTCCTTCAAACATAAAATTACATATATTTTCTCTCTCTCTCTGACTTTGTTTTCAGCAGTGAGGATTAAATCAGAGCTCTGGACACACTATCCTAGTGCTCTACCAGTGAGCTGCATCCTTAGCCTTAGAAATACATTTTTTGCCCTGCTACAATGACCTCTATTCAATTAATTGTTTGTGTAAAAACAAACCAACAAAAACCCAAAACCAAATAAACAAGCTGTGGGACTTCAGCTGCCACCAACTCAGCAAAGCTTCATTAGACAGGTCCAGCAGGACAGGACTTCAGTGTTGAGTAATGGAGACAAGGTACACTGTGATTCCTAGATAAAGTTTTATAATGGAAAATATAAGCTGAAGACAAAGTAGAGGGAGGTAATATTTATGGAATTTGATACCATCATAAAACAGTCAAGTACAAGCCATATTCAAAATGATAGTTTGAACTTAGTGTGATGGTAAGGTGTCTTGCCTTGCACGAGGTCATGAGTATCTTCGTGCCTTGATAATGATACACAAAGTCACAGGCTCTGTGCGTGTTGTGTCGGCACAGATGTCATAGCCACAGCAGAGGGTCTCAGTCAAGAGAGGGTTGTAAGAGGGTTATTTGTGCAGAGTAATGATTCATGTTACTCTCCTCCCTGGCCCATGGAAACAAATAGTTTATGAGTGTTCCCAGCCTCTGCACTGAAGCCCACATGCTCCTTTCCCATTGTGTCTTATGGGTCTCACACTGAAGAAAAAGCCTACTTATAATTATGAAGCCTTGCCTGCCAGCTCTGTGATTTGGGGCTGGTTCCTTGAATGCTGTGGCCCCCACTGCTATGTGTAATATATAAACGCAATATAAATACTAGTTTAATAGTGTTGGGTGACTGTAGGATTTGGAGTGCTCTCAATACTGTGTCTGGTAAATAATAACACCTTAATAAATGTTAGGTATTTAATGGTACCATCCCACACCCCTGCCCACCTTCTGGGAATAATAGTTTATACCTGGCACTTGTGAGATGTAACATATAAGAACTCTTAAGGCTACCTCAGACTACTAGTTTTTTTTTTTTTTTTTTTTAAATCAATTACTCTTATAGTTGTAAAGAGTTAGTTTTTTTTCCCTGCCGGCCTGGACCCACCACAGCGGCAGCCCCAATTAACATATAGAGACTCTGTAGTTGATATCTGTATTCTGTATTTGATATAATGCTGTTGGCCAGGTACTAGTTCCTTTCTTAAAAGCCATGCTTTTTTTTTTTTTTTTTTTTTGCCACTTATGATGAGTCAGGAAATCTCCTTTAAAGGAAAGGCTATCATAAATGCCCTTCCCGGAGAGGGAGATCAACAACTAACTTCTCCATGGAGCCCTCAACTAATGCCTGTTGAAAATAGGAGCGAACACCCATACTGAGTCGAACTAGAACCCAGAAGCAGATGGAGAGGACAAGACCATGTGGCAGAAGCACATAGAGACAACTTACCTGAACAAGGAGGAGCTAAGGGCCACTAGACTGATAGCTGGGAAGCCAGCATGGGACTGACTCGGCCCCCCCTGAATATGGGTCTCAGCCAGAAGGACTGAGCAGTCTAAGAGACCTCAGAGAGTGGAGCCAGGATGTATCCCTGGTGCACAAAAGGACTTTGCAAACATATCCCCCATGGATGGATAACTGCCTTATTCTAGAGATAGGAGAGAAGCCCTAGTCCCTACTTCACAGGACCTGTCAGATCCACATGACCCCAACTGGATGGTATTCCCCTACATGTGGAATTTGGGTGAGGGGATGGGAGAGGAGGGTGTTTAGAGTGCATGTGAGAGGTCAGAGAGGGTAAAAGGGAGGGAAGGAGGGAGGGAGGGATGGGGGGAAGGAGGGAGAGGGAACTGGGATCGACATGTAAAATAATAAATTAAATTAAAAAAAATGCTTTGACTCCAAAATTTAAGTTGAAGGACAAGTTACTGGGGAAAAGGATTTCTATTTTTGTTTCCACAGAAAATGAAAAGATTCCTTCCAGACTAATGTGGTTTGATCACGCCAGACCGCCTGAAACAGAGTACAAGCTGATCCTACATTCAAAACAGCTGAACAAAACAGCCCTACAGACTACAGCCAGGATATCTGAATCTTCTTCGAATCCCCCAAGATAGCACCCCTTAGCAGCAGGAAGTAGTTTGGAAAGAATGACGCCCAAATTCCCAAATATTGTGTATAAATGTTTGTTTTCATTTAATTGGACTTTGTTATATAAAATTAAATAAAAAAAAATACCTAAAAAAAAAAAAAAGGAGCCGCGCAAATCTTTGCTTGTCTCACTCAAAACAGAGATCAACTGAGAAACATGCTGTTATCAAGAAGCCTTGCTTGTCTCTGTTCTTTTGTTTGTAAAACTCTTTTTAAAGCTTTTTTAAGTTTTAAATGGAAGTTCTTACTAGACACGTTGCGGCGCCATAATGTTAGGAGTAGGTTTTCCCTGCTTGTCCGGACCCACCGCGGCGCCAGCCCCAAATAACACACAGAGACTCTGTATTTGATATAATACTGTTGGCCAGGTACTAGTTTCTTATCGGCTAGCTCTGTCTTAAGTATTAACCCATTTCTATTAATCTAAGTATTACCACGTGGTCTCATCTTACCAGAGAATGGGCCCAGACCTCTGTTCTCCAGTCTTTCCATGCTGACTCCTCCTTCCTACTTCCTCGAATCCTCCTTGTCTCCTAGTCCCACCTATCTTGCTTTCCTATTGGCCAACAGTGCTTTATTCATTAACCAGTATGAGAAACACATTTACAGAATGACATTTCCCATCGTATAGTCAATAGTGAATGATCTGTTAAATATTTAGATGAAAGTGAATTTGAGAATTTATTCCTCCATTTGAACAAGATTTGTATGAGTTTTTAAATAACCCAGACTATAACACTTTATTTTTCTTTTATTTTAATTTTTTATTTTGGAGTCAGGATCTCATTATGTAGCCCAGGCTGATCTGAACTCACTATATAGCTGAAACTTACCTTGAACTCATCACCCTCCTGCCTCCACCTCCCCAATGCTAGAATTACAGGCATGTGCCATCTACCCAACACAGGGTCTTTTTGTTTTCCTTTGCTGAAAATTAAACACAGCCTCATCAGCTCACTGGTGCCCCATAAGCAATATGTCACTAGGCTACATTCCCAGACTGCACTTTTTGTTTTTGAAAGCTTTTGATTATATATTTACTTTTCTTGGTTCCGAATTAACTTGTCAATCTTATAAGAGAAAGCCTGAGAGTGACATGTTTAGCCACCCCTCTATCTCCTCCAGTATTTCTAACATAAAATGCATATTATATAATCTTAAAATTAGGAAATGCCTATAACCAAGAGACTAATTTACATTATCAATAAATGTGAAACTCATTTACATAAATGTATATATCTTTATTTTACAATTTAGAGTGAGTGGCATTCAGTAAACTTGGAAGTATTAGCTTAGCCTGAATTTTGTATTTGACAGTTGAACTTGAATATGCCTGATATTTGGGGATGTTGGCAATACCTTATACAAATAATGAAGGCATGTGTAACAGAACATGTAAGTCAGGAGAAGCCTTGAATCTCTAACCTAACTGAATGTACAGATGCTTATAAAGTTCAAACCTATGGTATTTAAGAGACATTACAAAAATTATGCTAATGTGGTAATGATAGTTCTACACTATGTGATTAAACCTATATTACTAAATTATACTGTAGTTTTCATAGCTTTTAATAGTTGATGGTATTAAGGTTTTGTGTCCTAATAAAAAGCTTAATTTCTGCTGTAAAGTGTGAATAGTAGATCTGTTCTAGACTACATAATATTTAACTCCAAATAAAATCTGTAGCTGCATGATAATTATATCTTCATTAAATGCCAACTTCATATAAGGTTAATTGCTGAGATACATAAAGATGCAACTATGATGGATTTCATACCATCTAACTACTTTTATAAAAATTTATTTATTTTTTTTGCGTTTTTTTTCTGCAAGTTGATGTTTGCATTTACAGTGTGCCAGTGATACAGGCTAAGTTGTCCAGTTAGTACTCCACATCACTGAGTGGCCATTATGCTAAGGCACAAGCATCTAAAGAGGAAAGGAACAGCTTGCTCTGTGAAGGGCGCGGGCTGTGTGTAGGGCACAGGCTGTGTGGAGACACTTGCTGTGTGTGAAACACTGGCTGAGTGGAGACATTTGCTATGTGTGGGACACGGGCTGTGTGGAGCAAGGCTTGTTAGTAAATGCTCCAACAACCTTTTCTTCCTAATAAACACTAAAATGTATGTTAAATTGGGTTAAAAAAAAAAACCCAAGAACTTATGGTGTCTAGTTCCCTATGCTCTAGTGGAAACAATAAATAATGAAAAGAAAACATAAAATATGTAGAACAAAAGTGTTTGTTTTAAACCATTTAATTTATTTTATTTTTTAATTTTATATATCGATCCCAGTTCCCTCTCCCTCCCTCCCTTTTTCCCTCTCCCTCCTCACATGCACCCACACCACCATCCCCTCAACCCCCCCCCCCCACTCCACATGTAGGGTGATGCTATCCAGGAGGGCTCATC